CGATAATTATTTTCGATGAGCAATATAATTGGTGTGATTTAGATACGGCTAACTGATATTATTATCCAATTCACTGTATAAATACCGATAACGTTCTGAATTAGTAAACTCGGTAAAATTTACTCATTCAATAAATCAATCATCAAAATATCTAATAATCCTTACCATCATAATATCTGACCGAGTAATGGTGATACTGTGTTTGTCCTTTTCGAGTTAACAGTTTGATGAACGGCTAACAACTATATCTTTCTCTATTTTAGTAGACATTTATTGACAGATCACGACTAACTGTCAATTTTGTTAGAACCATGGATTTTCAATGTGATCAGGAGATGACGTAGTGCTTAAAATGTTCCATCTGCGAATTGAAAGTTAAATAACTTTCACATGGGTCGGACATATCGCACACCTAGATCTAAACTAAGACAACTCAAAAAGCTAATTTGGAGGTTTGACAATACATTTGTTAACGTGGCAGGAGTGCGAGTTATCTAGCGGCTCATCCCCGAACCTTTATTGAATCTGTTGTGTTGGATAGATGAGTATGATCACCAAGTATTTGAATATTGTACTAAGTCAAAACTCACTCAAATTTTTGAGTTGTCTCAGTTTAGATCTAGGTGTGCGATATGTACATAAGTTGGGTGATCAAACATTATTTTCATCATTCGTGCGCTCAAAACACGCTCCATCCAAATGAAGGCAGCCATCAGTGGTATTAATAGACTAATGATTTATTATGATACAATTTGCATGGAAATAACGTTATTATAGCCGATCTGTAATTTATTATCTAGAGCGTTCTGCAAAGTCGCCAATTTACTAAGTGTGACACGATTTATCGTCGATTTCAGCAACAGACAAACCATTGTGTGACTAATTTTTAGTCATACTATCTATACATTTTGCTAATGGGACAACACTAATAACGAAGTGTATTACACAGCTCCGGGAGCTGTGTGTTCGTCCTGTATAAAACTAAATTGGGTGAAAGCCGTTCGGAGAGTATTAAATGCTGAAGTTTTGTACATAGAAGGTACTTTAATACTTAGATGGAGAAGCTTATTCTCACTAATAGTATTTTAGCCTTATACTTTATCTAATCGCCTGCTTATAAAAGTTTTGATCAAAATAAAACGGGGATTTTCAATAAATGTTAGGCAACATCACATACATTGCTCAGATTCTAAGATGAGTAGGTAGCTAAAGTCCTTGTATTATAAAGTATCTGAGACAACTCAGACCCGAGACAATATACTAAGTTTCATTTCATTTAAAGTTTATGGTTCGAAATTTGTTCAAATACATTCTGCTTTTTCCTTTTGGACATGGAACCCTAAAACGAAATTATGAAAACAATATTACTTTCCGGGTTATGATGGTACTACTAGAAATGAATCACTGTAAACATTTACCAAGTAAATAAAAAGTAAAACATTTACCAAGTTATAAAACCCAAAAAATATTAGAAATAAAAAAACAACAAAAGTCGTTATTGTATGGCTATATTTCAACAGATGCCTTTGCACTAATCAATATATGAATACAGGGACTCAGTTATGTAAACGTAATAATGGCGTTTCAATACAAGCTCTTTAGATACAGTTCTTGAGATTATATAACAAAGATTCTGTAACCTTCATTTCTTTTTTGATTGCCATAAAATAAAAAATGAAACATAAAAGCCTTTGAATATAAGATTGTTTGTATATTTATTGTATTAACAAACAAAAGACGTAAAGAAAATAAAAATGTTACAAACATGAAATAATTTTGCCCAATCAGCGATTTCTTCCAGGCAAGCTATATTAACTAAGCTTTAAAGACATTGAATAAAAATAAATGAAAAACTGTAAAATTAATATACGATGCTTAGGACAAAGAAATGGGTAAAACTCAAGTTAATTTCCCTTCATTCGACAAAAACAGCTTCACAACTAGATACTTAAAAGGCTCAAGTGTTTGAGCGTTTGGCCAATGAAGTAACATTATAGCTTTAATATTAGTAGAATGAAATTGGTATTCCTATTCTGATAAAAATAGTGCAACGAATGCAGCGACAAACAACGCTCTGTTGCAGATTTAGAGATTTTTAAAATTAAATCAAATTCAAAAGGGATCTACAATATTATTAAAAAAAAAGTATTTGATAGAACTTCCAATTTTGTGATAGAGCAATATTTGACGCTGCATTCGACGCTGTATTTATAATCTTCTTCTTAGTCAAGTCGACATTAGTGACTTACTTCATAATGCGACGCCACACCTCCCTAACTCTCGCTCTTCTCGTGCATTCATGCAGGCGGTTTGTTTAAGGTTATTATAATAGAAACAGCAAAGAAAAAGCTGCATTCGTAAAATAATAATTGACTTTAATATTACATAGAATGATATTTAAATTTCATTTGGTTTTTTTTTGTATATTAAGTATCACATTGTTTAATCTGTACCTCTAGAAACATTTTTTGTTGATCCAATGTAGTGCCTTGAAATATTAGCTCAACGGTGAGCAGAGTTAACCCTTAAAACTACTTTCTAGTTTAGCATTAAGCAACGTGAAACCAAACGTCCCATTTATAATACTTACAATATCTAAGTTTTCCATTTTGCTCTGTAAGCACGGAACCCCGGGTGGAAATAACCACAAACCGTAGGTAAGTAATATCCGGCGGTGAAATTTGTGGCTCGTACCGAACTAAGGATTTAAGTTCTAGATTAATGGTTTTTTTTTGAATTTCAGATATTCATATTTACTAAGTACATGTTTTTACACTGATATTGCAAACAGTAAAACACCAGAATGTGAATGTGGACCACTGATCGAAAAACAGTGCAAACTTACATCTGGTACGACACATAATACGAATAACACTCAATTTAATAAAGTTTTTACTTGTACTGTACATAATAGTGTATATTGGCTGGTATCCATAGCAAGCTTTGAAAATCTTCAGCTACACCGTTATCTGTCTAGCTCCTGCACGTTTACTTATAGCAACATTGTGCATCCCAGCTAAGTCACTAGAATAAATTACGTCAGGCGTTAAATTGCAGATTTGAATAGATTACCCTGGTATTTTATACGAGGTTTAGTAGATTGGTGCAGTGGATCAAATAATAACTACTGAAGTTCTTCGTTTATAAGGGAAAAATATCTCAGAACGGCTTATGTGCCTTTCAAGGTGGTAGTAGTGTAGGTAGGTGTAAAAACTATAAAAATAATTAAATTTTTACTCAAAAGTTATGATTTAAACACTATGTTTATGAAAGGGATTGATGTCACAAGAATATACATACAGGGTGATAAGATTTTGGGTGACTAAAACTTGTTATCTTAAGTTCCTTCTTGCTTCTGCAGTCGTTAACGTCCATCACAAATGCGGATTAATTTAACGATTCTGACATTACTGGTCCCGTGCGGTGGGGAATGACTTTCTTTTTTTTTTTTAACGTGGGGGAAATGCGTTACGCATACCCACCGGTTTGGGGGTACCGGTGGGTTATGTCGGACTCTCCAAAAGGCCTACCGACTAAAACCACCCACGATGCTCCTACACCACCGACAATCGGCGTCGCCATTGTACCGTTTAATACCCACAGCTAGCCGGGCCAGTTGTCCGCCTTCAGGCGAACCCTTTTCTGGGGGACCTCCCAATTCCCCCATGGGTGATTTTTTACAGAGGTTGTCTTCCTCGCGGCTCTTATCCTAATGGACAGCAGCCCTCGACTCCATACCATGTGTGGAGTTACGAGTTGACCGAAGGTGACGAAAGCCACTCATCGCCCGCACGACCCACGACAGGTTTCCCAAACGTGGTCCCAGAAGGGACCTTACCTCCCCCCTACGCTTGCAACGCAGAAAGGGCTAAGGCTAAACAGTACTTCGTTCTTAGTGGGTACACCCACTCGGACCCTACATGTAACGGAGTAAACTCCGTTGCCCACACATCGTCTGACATTAGCCGTGGCGGCTCAAAGCTACTTCGAGTTGTTAACGTTGCTCAGGGTGCACCACGAGGAGGTTGCCAGACTTGCACCCCCGGTGGGGAATGACTCGACGAGCTCCATTTAAGTCTGTAATGTTATTTTGAAAGGTATATAGGTAAATTAATTATGACTTTAAAGTCATGATAATTTTTTCCTTAATTGAATCATAAAGATTAATAAAATAACAAATATAGCAATCATTGATTTACTCTTGTGAACAGATATTAAACTAATTATGTTTAAGATACATTATTTAAATCAGTTGTAATTTAACATAATGGCAGTGGTGAGGCTTACTCTTATCATACTTAGTAATTTAAGACTTAACTAGGGCTTCCAACCAGGATCCAATGTGCAATCTCACCATAAAGAAGACAAGTTATGAAAACAATATTATACGCTACAACTATCCTCACTTTTGTCGGCTTATTATAATGGATTCAATTAAAAAACTTCTGAGTCAAACGGTTTCATCAAACAATCTTCGATCATTGTATCTTTGATCGAAGCAAACAATTTGCTTCAAATTAAATTTATTTTTTTATTTGACATATACGTCGGGTACAATACTAAAGATTTATTAACAATATAAATCAAAATCAAATATAAATAATTTAAGTAAAACAATAACGTAAATAACAAGTGTTCCACGACTGCGTTATTTGTTCTCTTTGATGAAATTATTTTGTGCGTTTGAAGATTCAAGTCAAATTTGGCAATTCTCCGTCGCAATAAAACTTATAAATTAAGGCTTTAAAGAAAAATATCATTATTTAACTTAAACGAATCAAAAGCTTACATACAAATTTTAGTAGACAACTTTCAAATAAATAAGCTTAGACAAATCTATCAAACTGTCCATTAAAACCATTCGAAATTTCAATACATTTCGTGTAAACGATTAGGATTGATACCCGTACAATATTATTTGATTCAATCAAATAATATTGTACGGGTTTGAATCTGTTTAACTGTTTTTGTTTTAAAGTAAGAAGCAGACAAACTTTAGCTTAGCATCTCGAGAGATCCGGTAGGCTCTTTTCTTTGCAGTAGGAGTATGATGAGGGCCAGGCCTTGAAGCCTACTCTGTCGTAAATACGTTTGGCACACCTCACATCATCTGCCAAATCTTCATTTAGGAGATCTGAAATTATAAAATAAATTTTTGAACATTCTTGGATTGGTTGGGTTTGGCTCTTCATTTAAACTCAAATTTATTTTTCTTTATTATAAGCACAAGTGATAGTGAAAAAAGTATGCCATAATCTACGTGGGCAATCATGTACTGAGAAGAACCGGCAAGAAACTCAGTGAAGGCTATTCTTGTTTAATTTCATACTTGCTATTTTCCGCGATTTCACCCGTGTCTGACGTAGCTTCTCGAAGGTGATTTTTTTTTAATAGTTTCACTAGTTTCGTAGCCTTTCGATGCAAATCTTTCCCTTTTTTAATATTAGTATAGACAGAGTCTCATTATGAAGTTACTTTCCATTGCAATATTGAAAAAAAAAACAGATAATTCACTATTTAACCCATTAAATGCCGCTTCATATATACTTAATGAAAATGAACATAAGTAATAGAGCTAGAGCCGACTCATTACCACATCACTAGTTCACGAACACGACGCGTGAGCCAGCCTCTGCTTAGCCTCACTATATATATTAGAGAACGTAAGTACCCAGTCACGACATCATACGGCCCAAGTCGTAGAAGTCGGCTTAGGGAAGTTATTATTACCAAGTTTTATTTTTAAGGTTATTTTGTAGTCTCAATATCAAAAAAGGATTTACTTTGTAGTCATGTTCATTATTACTATAAGTGCTTATGTTCAGAACATAAACCACCATGGTAAACCTCTTTTCGGTGTTCTGTGGTAATCTTGAAAAAGGTTAGCATTAAAGTGAGTGAGCATAATAGATTACAACTCATTAGATTCATTCACTGAGAGCTGTGCTGAAAGGAACTTGAACGGAATGGATTTCATTGGAACAGGTGGAAAAACAATTTAATATACGTCTAAAATTTTTGATGTTACGTATAGCGAGTAAGCTCGCTATGCTAATTGATGCTATTTTTCTGAATTCACGAAAGTCAAGAATGTAGAATTAATTGGTAGCATATGCGATAAATATGTTTATTATTAATTTAATATCCGATTATAAAGAAGTTGAAAGAGATTATAAATATGAGTAGAGCAACATAAGATCAACTCATTTTGGTAAATATTATATGTTATATAAATATTTAATACCAAGTATAAGTTAGTTATTTACCATCACTCAACACTGTATCTGATGGCGTATGTGAAAAATACCGGTCGTATTCTACCGTCCGCCATTTCAAATAAGTATTCGTAAAGCGTTTTGCTTCCATAATGCGAGGCAAAAGAGCGGAATTTTATGCCGACATCTGTTCCTACACGCTTGTGCCCAATATATTTTTCCTATATATTTATATCCTTTCGAGGGCATATTTATAAAGAATAAAATATTTTTTTTCCAGCAACCTATCTAGAAGTTACAAGTTTTCAAATGATTCCTGGTTGAGCGTTCCATATGTCATTTTTTTAAATTGCAAATCATAGTTTCCATTAGGTAAACAGATAAAGTGTTCTATAGAAATTTGATTCGTATTCAATAATATTCGTGTTAGAGCACACAGACGCATTATTTCGGCGGTACAGAATCATGTGTGTTCAATTGCGTATCCAAGTTGCACTGGCCTACTTCAAATCATATCCTTGTAAGTTTCTTTACAACAGCAAGGGAAATTATATTTATTAGAATATTACTTGTTAATTGATAGTTATTATATTACCTTCACATTTCATACTGCAGTGCCCTCCTTTTCTCCCTTTTTTGCACCAATCTTTATTGTTGACCTGCGAATAATATTTTCTATTAATTCTTTGAAATCATCTTAAACTTTATTGCGAAACATTTTCAATCATCAAAAACTGATAAATATACAGAATTCGAGTTCTATTTAGTGTTTTTAATCAAAGTTAATAACAACGTATTTTCAGGCAAACAAAAAAAAAATGTTTCAATTCAATACAACTCCCAGAATCTGAATTCATTTACCGTGCGAGTGCGAAAGTCATTGTATTGGCGGCTTCCATACAAATAAATAAGGGAATTAATTAAAAAGCTGTTTGCTGACAAAATACAAAACGTAGCGCGGTCCGCTGGGAGGACGAATACCAACCAGCGAATACTAAATATTGCCGCCATTTGCATTTTACCCGTTTTCCCGCGTTAAAAAGGGAGCTAGTAGTTCAATGTATGTCGATTCTCTTTTGTTTTAACTGGATGTTTTAATTAATTGGCTTTTTTAAGTGAAACGCGTTAGCCAACTAATGAAACTCTTGAAATCGGTGGTGACTGTAAACGGATAGATTCGTTGGCACAAAGCAAATTAGATTTGATTACATTGTAACGCTGTTTGATACGAATGTCTAACTACTTGATTTAAAAATATGTGATTCGTTAAATTTTCTAGACATTGTGATGTAATATCTTACTATAATACAAGTCAAATTATAGTAAAATAGAAATATCTTACTATAATACAAGTCAAAATTTCAGGCAAATCCATTAAGCCTTCAAGCGGAATGTACATAGATATGATGTAAACAGAGTTTCGCATTATTAATAATAGTAGAAAATAGAATTTTGCTTCGAAATAATCATTAGGAAACCAAGACAAAGGCCTGACGATTATGAGTACTTGGAACATATATGCACTAAGGATCAACAGCCCTTTGGGCCTCTTAACAAATTAAATCTCACTAAGGGACAAATCCCTCGAATGTTAATCCTTACGAAACAAACTTACACTCTCTGCATGGACAATGGAAAAGATATAATGTAAAGCAAAGATGTACATTGTCTGTTAAATCCATAATACCTATGTAATTTAACGAATTTTGGAATGGCTCTTTTCGTTTGATTGGGTGTCCTTATTAAGGGTAAAAAATTCTCACAAAAGAACAAAAATGATTGTAAAAACTTCAAATATTACTGGCATACTATTATTGTGGGATCCCCCGTTGAAGTAAATGACTTAAACGGAGAAATTCCGCAGCCCGCGAAAACCGATGCAGGGTGTTGCCAATTTTGAAACGTATGCTGAACGCGGAAAAAGAAAATGTTTATGTTATTTTTGTAATTTCTGAAATAAAAAAAACTTGTGAATTTTTTATAAATTTTTGCTTACGCACGTTGGGGGCCCCCGCGGCTCGGGGGCCCCCAACGTGATATTGATGCGGCAGATACGGCTGTAGCAACGCCCCTGTATTTATTATTATTTAGATACAGTATAATGGTTTACTTGTTAGTTGTTTCAATAGAAAAATAATAAATTTATAAGAGTAACATAATTACTTTTTAAATGTTTATGCCAAATAGTCTCTACACAAAGAGAGACTGATTTGAGTTATAATGTTGCATATTTTTTATCTGGTTCCAGCCTTTTGAGTTAGTTATTTTTCACGCAGGCGGATGGTCGTGGGTTCGAGTCCCATCTCAGAGTACCTGAGGGCGGGTGGATTTTTAATCATTGTAAGCATATTTTCCAGTATAGCATAGTGAATAAAAAAACATCAAATATAACAATTAAGAAAGAACTGTTAATAGTTAAAACATTATTAATAGTTCTTACTTCAATAAAATTTTCGTCTATTGGTTAAAAATATTTGCTAAAATGACATTTTCTCAAGTAATTATTTCTCTCGATTATAGATACGAGTGTTGAAACATAGATCATTTAGGCACAGTACAAATATATAAGTAGGTGCACTCGAGACCCGAGCGAGAGATATTAGCCTAAACATCTAGGGCTGACGCTTACAGGTTATTCAATCGTCAGAAATGCATGGTCAATCAATCTCTAAGATATAGTTTCCCCGGGCAAAGTAAGCATCCGGGAACTATAATACAACTTTTTAATGTTTTTTTTTATATTTTATTCATACCTATGTCATCAATTAAGGGTTTTGTAAAATTAAAACGTGGTTTTAATGAAAAATGTATTTATTCAATTATTTCCAAATAATCATGTGCTATGTACAAACAGTCTCTATCAATGGCCCGTATTTTTTTATATTACATTGTCTAATACGTAAATATACAATTCAATATCAATTTCAATTTGGCGGTATTCAGGCATTGAGAGTTAATAAATTAAACTACAAATTGATATCTAGTAAACGAAATCTTGAGCAGAACTAATTCATAAATCCTTTCAATGGGTCAATAGATAGGTACACAAAATTATAATTACTTAATATATTATAATAAATTACCCAAATACCTAAAGAACGAAATACCATATACTTCATTTATAAAAATGTGAAATACCATATACTCGATTTATAAATGCATATACAATATTTTGGTTTAGTTTTCAAAGCCATCTTGTTTACGTCCAGAAATTTTATAACGAGCGGTAATACAGCAACGAGAAATATACGCAAGCACGGCGTACTAGCCATGACTAGCGAGTTGCCACTCGTGCCTTGTCTAGTATAACTTTGATAATTTTGTAAAAGTGTTAGTATATACTGGAGGAGCGAAATAAAAAAGCGTCTATTCGTTATCAGTTGTATTGCGAGACAAAGGAGTCGAGTTGGTAACAAACATACCCGTCATTCGGGATTCTTATCGATCTACCTACATAACAGTGTGTGTGCTACGACGTAACGACGCATACGCACGGGCGCGCTCACATACACACCATCTCGTAGAGTATTATTGTTCTGTGCAAACCATTTTCAGTGCGTGCATGTATGAAGAGCACTTACTCTTATACTCTGATTTAGGTTTCTATCGCATAAAATTTCTTCTAAATATTTTTATGCACTCAAACGTTTAAGATAGAGGATAGACTCAGTAAATATCAATATATTATTCACCGATATTTTCTGTTTAAACTTTGAAACACGGTGCTCACTGTCGATATCACTTGGAACCGTTCAGTTTCCTATTTGAATAATCCGCTGCATAGAAACGTCGTTTAAGTTGAATTTCTAGTGTCAAATAAGCGACGTTTTTGCATTTATCTGTAGGTATTTCAATTCTGTATTTGGTTCCTTACTAAGAAGTCACTTTTTTTGTAGTACCTACTGTATTCTGGATAAAATTAGTGAGAAATAAAAATATATAAAGATGTAAAAATAACTACCTCCAGAAATATCACTCGATTTTATAATAAGTTTTTTTTTATTGTTAGGAAAATAATAGTTACAATTTTTTATAAAAGTAAAATATTTTTTATGTATTTTTTTATTTATTTATGAAACCGAACGTGTGACGATAAGCGAAACGGGGCGTTGCCGGTTAGATATAACTGAAGCTTTATGGCCTATGAGAGATTTATTCGCGACACTCTGAATATTTTAATATGTAATTACATTTATAATATTAATTAAACGATCAATAGCAAAGACTGTACTTTAATCAATAACATAGGAGTATGTTGATGTGTGTACATACATAAATAATTCTTTAATCGGTTATCTATATAAGTTCTATCACTTTCACATAGCTATATATCATTATTTGTTTTATCAATGTACTACATATTTATAATGTTATAATATAGAACTCAGTGATTTATTTGCCAGATGTGTTTGTGGTAACAAAAGAAATATATTTTTGTGTATTCGAAGCTCAGTAAATACGATTTATCAAAACAAATATTAATCTTATAATACTTTGCGTCACGTGTTTCATATAGTAAACATTTATAGTGAATCAATCGATAAAATATCGATATTTAGCGATAATTATTTACAGATTTAGAAAAGGTTTACTTTTGTAGCCAATATATCGCCTATTTTATCATTCATTAATATTTGTTGATATATCTTAATATTATTCCATATTTTACTCGTTTCTATACTTGCAGTTCAACGGAAGCGGTGTCAAGATGGACAGAGACATTATTAATTAATGATTTATCTGTTCCAAAAGATAAGGACTCATTGGAACTTTAGGAAGAATGAAAAACAATTAATATTATGAGATATTGCAAAATTGTACAATATTCACATATAATAATCATATAAGTACAGATAAGCTCAGATTTAGGCACCTAAAGATATTCATTAAAATTATGTAGTATGTAGTTATCTAATATCAATACAAACATATAATATATATAAACACATGTAACCATAAGAATAAAGCCTAATCGTCGAAATAACCTATAATTACTAGTATTCGTTGCGCCAAGCCAGAAAGTCTTCTGACAATGTTGTTGGAAGAAATTTACTACTAGAGAATAAAATGACTATTTTCATTGCCAAGCTGAGTACATACTTTTTCGAAGATGTATCACTCTATTTAGTTTTATATTTATATCGATATAGTGTATTGCCTCACCCCTATCACTGAAGAGCAAACAGAGCACCTATCCGAGACGTTCATCAGAGCGACACAGCCTTGAGATTAGCAATCCCAGGGGAAAGTATTAGCTCACAAGACGTTATTTACCGACCGCGGGCTGATTTCAATCGGGCTTCGATTTGCGGGTAGAGTTTTAGTGATGTAACACTATTTTGACAGTACAATTTATCGATAAAAATAATCTGTGAACGTAGTTGTCAATAGATTTTATTGTTAATTAAAGCCTTAGCCCACATAATTCTTATAAATTATGACGGGTATTTGATTTTTTTTGCACTAATTCACTTTTTAAAATAAAGTTATTATGGGTAGTTATCAGAAAACTTAACAGATGTCTAATATAGTAGTTACCATTATAAAACATTCAGGTCCATTCCAGAACTACTCATAAAAACAGGTCAGGTTATTTTATGAATATGTAAAATTTGTAATAAATTTCCTTAGGTGCTTGAAGATTTAAAATCAAGTGAAG